CCCCTCTGTGCCTCTGGACTCCTCAAGGAAAGAGGTGGCAACCTTCCCTCCCTCCTACAATCACTCACCGCCCCAAATGACAAAGACACGCTGTGACCGCTGCTTTGAACCACCTCAACATATCCGGCAGCTTTCCGCTCAAATACATCATCTCCATGAGAGAGACATTTCATTACATTCGTCTGCATGCTTTTTTATTCAAAAGATCCACATATAACGAGGAATGCACACACAAACACATACAGAACGCGCAACAACTTGTTTTCCCGCATGTGCTCACAGAGGGAGAAGGAGCAGCTGGATTCCTGCCTTCCCCTGGCTGCGCGCACGCACGCACACACATGTACCTTCACACACATGTACCCGCACACACACACACATGTACACACACACACACCCCAACACGCTCCTGCCCTCCCCGCTGCCTGCCCCACGCTCGCCTGCCCCCTGAGTCTCCCTCTTTTCCCTCCGGGCTCCGAGCAGAAAGGACAGGTAAGGAGCCAGGCAGCACCAAGGGTAGGGCGGGAGCACACAAAAGCCATAGGCGATTAAATGGCTCAAAGTCAAAAGGAGACACGAACTAGGGACGTCAGAATAAGCAAAGTTGAGCCGGAGAGCTTTACCATTAAAGTTTATTTCCCACTTACCCAGGTAGGTGACGCTACATTTTAGCAGTCATTGAAGCAGCAAGTCTCTGTTCGGAAATAAATCTGTTACTTCTTACATGTGTTTATTCTACTAACCCTCTCGCTCCCATCCTGAACATCTTCTCCGAGGATTTTTTTTTTTTTTTTCTCCTAGGATACCCACAAACATGCTGAAAAGACACACTCAAAACACGGTAATAGGAAGAGCACAATCACAAAGACCGAGGCTGAAACAGCACTGGGAAACAGGACGAAAGTCTGAGATCTCAGGCAGTCCCCCTTCCTCCCTGGAGTTTTATGCAGTTACAGTGACTGCAGCTATTTCACAAAAGCACCGACACAACAGGGGAAGGTGGGAATCTGGGAAACGAGTTTCCTTACCAGCTTGATTCCGCAAAAGGCAGAATAGAAGAAAAGAAAGGCGAACAAACATTTGCTCTAAAAATCGTTGCTCGATTCACGGTCTATAGCGGACGTGGGGAGGGAAAGGGTAGGAGAAAATCACTACAAACCACGGGTTTGAGAAAGCAACAGAAGCAACACTCGGGCGTGAAATGAGGATCGGTTTTGAGGACTGAACTGGTGCTTTGTGATGAGCAGCTATCCCACTTGCAGCACTAGCAGCAGAGACAGAGGGTAAGACTGAGCTTTCTGGAGTGCAGCGCTTGACTCGTCCTC